TTGGCCCATGTGCGCGTTCCCAAACCCACTCGGTCTCAGCATTTCCCACGTAAAATAGTGAAAACAGGTGAAAATTTACTCAGCAGGATACGAAGCTGTGAGGACGTGAATGAGTAGAGGAAATGGTCTGCACAAGGAACCAGGAGATACATAATTAGGGCGCTGAAAGTCTGGTGAAAAATGAGGCTGATTGGCAGGAGTCACACCAGGAAATGACAGAACAGAGGGACAGGTCGGTGACAGAGTGCGAGGCAGAGCCTGGGAAAGGGCTCAAGGTGGGATCCTCTGAAGATCCGCCCCGATGGAAACACTGCGCGTCGGGGACACCGAGTCCGGGCTGCTCACGTGGCCCCTCGTTCCAGTCGCTCAAGACTTATCTATTGGGAGCATTTCGAGGGAAGTGTTTGACCAGCAACCTGGTGACATTCTTGTTCCTTCTGATGAATTTAATAACTGCTAAGGTGCCCTGCAGCGTGTCTGCTGCCCCAGGGCAAGCGCTGCGAGAACTCCGCTGGCGCAGGCCCGCGCTCTGGGCTCCCTCTAAGGGCCCGCGGCGGTGGAGACGCTGCAGGCGGGCCTGGGTCTTTCCTTTTCTAGGAAACTACACCCGAGTGCGAAACGCCGCGAGCTTAACCACGGCCGCGGAAAAAATAAAAGTAAAAGTGAAAACGGAGCACCCTTGGCCCGTACGGGGATCGAACCCGCGACCTTGGCGTTATTAGCACCACGCTCTAACCAACTGAGCTAACCGGCCAGCCGATAAGCGCCAGCTCGAGAGGAGGGTAGAAGAGATTTCTCCTCTTGACCTTGCTGTTTTTTGGGGTTTTTCCCCCTTCCAACAATGTGATGCGTTCCAGCAGCTGAACTCGCCCACACCGACCCGGGCCTCTCATTTTTCCAATGTTGGTCCTATTTTGTCGTACCCGACGCAGCAACCACGGCATAACAATACGCCTCCTTCCGTCTTGGTGTTCTCAGAATAAGATTATTTCTCTTCTAAAGGCCAGCCAGACACCATAAGGTGGCCGTTAATTTAATGAATCCTGGGCAATTCTCCTGGTTGTTCCTCTTCGGCCTCTCCATTGGGTATGTTTATCTCTTTCAATTTCGTTTCAGATAAAGATTTACCAAAAGACTTTTAAGCAATTTAGTTTCCCTCTCTACATACACAGTTTACACGCAGTGGCTAAAAGGACACTGTAAGAAATTAATGAAGAGGATGATACAGCATATTTGGACATTTTTAAAATGTAACTTCTCATAGTGTGTGAATAAAAGGGACTTGGAGATGCCGGGGATCGAACCCGGGGCCTCATACATGCGAAGCATGCGCTCTACCACTGAGCTACATCCCCTGCCCTGTGGACGGTCGCTTTGTTCTTCTCCCCAACTTTTAAAATCTGATTTTTCCCCCCCTCTGCAATCGTAAGATTTTCTGAATGTTAAAGCTAAATTCTCCTTCACTTATTCATAAAAACCTTGAAATGGTTGATGGGACATTTGTCGTTATTCCAAGTGGAGGAAGCCTTGCAGCTTTCTGACCTTGTCAGCGCTTAACGCAGAGATACAGGGATAGAGCTAAGTGCCTGCTGACCAGGAAAAGGGGAGCGGGGCTCCCCCTAAAAGCTTACTTCTTTTTTTTACTCTTTTCTCCAAACACAGTTGAGGCCCGGCACAAAATCAAATCGTTTCCCCTGTCCCTTTTTAGGTGTCCAAAGTGCCGCGGAAAAGGTGATTTAATTAACTCGTTAAAGAACAGCATTGGATCGGCTTCCTTTTGAAAGTACTCTGCGGAGGCCCAAGTGTAGAATATTTCAACTATTTCTCCGGGAAGCTTAGGAACTGAAGGTCAGCATTCGACAGTTCTTGGCTGCACTGAATTCTACGCAGTCCAGTATGTATTAACAAGCATTTTCAGAATGACTAGCTCTGAACAGAAATCACTTAAAATTTCTAAAATGACTTTCGCCTTCGATTTTATAGTTCAATTAAGTATAGTTGATGTGAGCACCTTCTCTACGTGAGCCCGGATAGCTCAGTCGGTAGAGCATCAGACTTTTAATCTGAGGGTCCAGGGTTCAAGTCCCTGTTCGGGCGCTTTCGTTTTTCCTCTATTTCTGCAATTTTATTCAAAAAATAGTGACAGGAAGGAAGGAATTGTCAATTCATAGGTTGATTTCCCTAAAAAATAAGAGGGAATCCTGAGCACGGCATCGAAATAATAAACTAGGGTCTGTTCAGAAAATAAAAGGGCCTTTTAGTAAGGCGGCTGGAAACCACAGCACACAAAATATTTCATCTAGAGCATCAGAAAAAGTTTTATTAACAGTAGTTACCAGTTATCAAAGGTCAAACTGTTTTTGAAAAGCAACAAAAGCGCGGTGCATCAGCGTGCCCCCGTCTGGTCGCCTGCTTTGCTCAGCTCTGGGGATGCCCAGGTAAACGGCATGTTGCAGTGGGGCCGGCACTCAGAACTCATGGCCTAGCGGTTTCCAAACCGTTTGGCCAGCACCAGTTTGAAGTTTAGTTTACCTCTGCATCCAGAAACACACAGGTAACAGGAACAAAGGTTGCCTTCATTACCACTCACTCATTGACATGCCCTACATTCTGCTATTTCAGATGCTGATTTTTTTAAATGCTGGGTGCTTCCCGCCATTAAGTTGATTTCAAGTCCTCCTGCTTGGGAAACACTGGGCTGTAGGGTAACCATGAAATGAGGTGTAACATGGTACCGGGGGATGGGTGCTGTGCTGAATAACCTGCCTGCTCCAACTCTTGCCCTAAATCCAAGTCCCCTGTCCTGGCGTGAGCCAAAGCCTCCAGTCACCTGACCGACATTTTTCCTGCCTTGCTTGATAGCCCTTGATTGAGACTTCACTTGGTAATTGATCAAAGCAGAAATTTCATCCTAATGGATCCAGAAGATAACAGAAAAATTAAATTTTTTTCTACAGCTTCCAAGGGGCAGCCTGGGAATACAGCGCAATCCAGACCGGCCGGAGCGCGGGGTCACCGAGAAGATGGCCCTCCGAACGGCCTAGAGGGGACCCGGAAGTACGTCTGCGCGGTGCGGCTTGTCCGCCGGAAGTTCCGGTAGGGCTTTCGTACGCCATTTTTGTGACCGGACGGGGGCGCCATTGGAGGGGTTTGGAGAGGCTCGGTGTCTGTATTACCGGGTCGCTGTGACCACAGTTGAGAACCGAACGTAGAGGCACGAGGACGAATACGGGGAAATGAGTGTCCCTCCGTCTTCTTTTCAACCCTCGCAGGACCAGTGCCTCCGTTTTCGAGAGTTGTAAGTTCGATTATTGAGAACTCTGGGTCACTCAAGCTGTTTCAAGTCAGACACCAAATTCCCAAAATGTTTGTAAACCAGCACGTTAGGTTATGACTTGACAGATAGAAACTTAAGTGCCTAATGGATCGGAAAGGTGGGCAAGGGCGTTTAAAGGTGAACTCACGTTTTCCTCATTTCCCCTTTCCCGTTTGAGGAATGTTTCTGTCTAAAAAATTACCGTCCTTGTACAGAAACAGTCTTCCTTCTCGCTTTATGTTGCTGGAGACATACTAGCGCTCTGAATTCCACGACCACTTTCCCCCTGGAATTTACTGTCCTTTCGTTACTACCCTTCTTCACTGGGAATTACCACTGTTTAGCTTGCAGACTATTTTTATTACTTGCATTTGAAGTGAAATGGGGGTAGTAATATTGAATATATAGTCATGGAAATAAAATTATGCATGTAAGTCACTGAGCAGACACAGTTGTTGGCAAACAATAAACACTTAAATAGTGTAAAGAACCTAATATAACTTGGTTATGCATTTTATTTTGTTGATTCAACAACTTACTGAACATCTGTGCACCATGTTTTCACATCCTTCAAAGTGTTATTACTCTTACTAGAAGACTTTTCTGCACTCCTTGCTTGACCAACTTCTGTTTGTTTTCATTTTGCTGTTTAGGTGTCAAAATGCCCCATGAAGCCCTCCCTAAAACCCCTTCAAGTTCTGGCGTCCAGGTTAGGTCTCCTGCAGCATTATCACAACACTAAGCACACTGCTATGTGGTGATATCACTTGGCTTTGGACTGTGAGAACAGAGAATGCTTATCTTTAATCTTGATCTGTTTGGGAAAAAGGAAAGTAGAGGTTTGTTATTTATGGAATACAATGGGGTGGGCATGGTTTAGCAGAAGAAGGATGGTAATATGCCAGGATGAAGTAGACTTCCCAGCAATTCAGTTGTGACAGCCATCTAACTGGTCTTCCTCCTGTAACTCTTCTCCCCTTACAGCCTATAGCCCATGCATCAGCCACACACACAGACCTTAGATTGTGTCATTTCTCTGTTCAAAACTCTAATGGCATCCTATCATGGAGAGAAATTACAGCCTGGAGAGTCATCATTGTCTGGCCCTTGGCCATCTCTGCAGTCACATCAACTATCGCTCTTTCCCTCACTCTAATTCAGCCACTTCTGCCTCCTACTTCCTCCTCACTTCTGCATTTGCTATTCCTTCTGCTGGAATGATTTCCCCTCATAGTCACATCTCATGTTCCCCTATTTCACTAAGTGCTCTGCTGAAATATCACTGAACCACCCTAAGTACCCACTTAGTTCCCTGTCACATAAATATGTGTATTTTCTACCTGCACCCCAACCCCCAGAAAATAAGCTTGGTGAAAGCAGAGACTGTTTTGTTCACTGTTGTACCCCCTCCCCACTCCCTGGACACATGGACAGTGTCTCATATTAGAAAAAGGAAAAATGGTTTAAGGTGGTGAACAAATTGTCTGTATGTAGAGAATCTATGGTTGTCTATGTAGAAAACCCAAAATATGTAAATGTAAGACTTGATGAGAGTTTAGCAAGGTTGCTGTATACAAAAATCAACTTTCAATAAAAACAAAATGTAGTAACTAAAAATATACCATATAAAATAGAATAAAAAAGTACGTGTAAAGTCCCTAGGAAATATTAACAAAAGAAGATATTCTTGGAGAAAATTATAAAACTTTATTGAAAAACATTGAAAGATCCTAAATAAATGGAGCTATACTAGGTTCATAGATTGAAATACTAAACAATGTAATTTATAAATTCAATACAAATCCAATAAAATTCTAACACTTTTGTTTGATTTAGGACTTGTCAGTCTAGCTAAGCATAGCCAAGACACTCCTGAGGAAGATAAATTTGGTGGAGGTGTTGGAGGTGGACGTTGGATTTGTCCTGAGGTATCAAGACTGCTTTTTAAAGTTGTAGTACTCAGCACTGCCACAGGTTAGACAAACTGACTGGTCAGTCAGAACAGAAACCACCATCAGACCCTACCCCCACCCCACACGGAAACGATTTATGAAAGAGCCAATGTTACAGATTAGTGGGGGACTGGATAAACTTTTCAAAAAATGGTGCTGGGACAACCACTTATACATATGGAAAAAATACTATATTGAACTTCTATCTCATATGCTTCACAAAAATCAGTTCAGGAAAGGCTAAAGATAAATGGGAAAAGCAAAACTATACAACTTTCACAAGGCAATAAAAAATATCTTTATGAGTTTGGGTAGGAAATGATCCCCTCCCCACCGCCAGTTTGTATTCAGCTTTTGCAGATACTTAAAAGAACACACACACTCAAATCAACAACAAAAAACCAGTTACTTCCAACAGAATATGGGTAACAAGCTATAAAATTTTACAACTTCCAAAATCCCTTCCTCAAAAAGTCAATCAAATCTTCTGTTGCTGCTTTGAACAGGAAAAGATTTCAGAAGGGATAGACATTTCATGAGGCATGTAAGAACTTTTCACAGGTCAACTTTGACATGAAGAAAAAAAACCTAAAACCTGCAGGATTCTCAAAGGGATGATCCACAAACTACAAACAGAAATCTTGGTTCTTTTGAGCAACACCATCTCGATGTCATCATCAGAAAGCTTGAGTGCTGCTACCCAAAACAGTCAATTTTAGGGGTACCAAGGCCACATCCTGAATTGTGGTTTCAGGAAGTCAGCTATATCTTGATGGCATCAGGAAAGAAGACATGACATTTGGTTTCCCACAATGAAAGCCTTCTGAGCCAAAGTGACTCAAGTGTAAATGGAACCAAGAATGATCTTCAAAAACAAGAACAGCAAATCCTATTTTTCTCCATTTCAATCTAGCCTCTAAACACTGTATTAGTGGTACTTGCCCTTTCCACAAAAGATGGCAACAAAGTGTCTTGTGTGCTAACAACATAACTTAAAAAAAACAACCTACGTTTTTATAAAATTTGATTTAAAAAATAGTATTTCAAACAGAGTCATTAGAAGTATAGACTATGAAAAGTCCACTTCACTTGGCATCCCCAGTGCCTTCTGCTTTCTGTGACTGGGCTGTGGTGGTGTCTCGTGTTTTTGCAGGGTTCCCATCCTTGCCAACATCTGCTTTCCCCTTTCTTCCTTTGGGCAGCTTCTCCCCCTTCTTTGCAGGGGCCTTTTTAGGCCTGGGCTCTGGTTTTGGAGGAGCAGGCTTGGCAGACAACCGTGCAGACCTCCTCTGTGGCTCATCCTTCACCTTCACCTTGTCACCTTTAGCATCTCCTTTTGCCTTTCTTTTGGGCATGGTGGCAGCGGTGCTTGACAGGAGGCTTTTCCAGTCCCGGGGGTTCTGTTTTCCTCACGCTGCTCCTAGAAAGATTCATTTAACAAGGTACAAAAAGTGTAAACCATAAAGGGAAAGACTGACATTTAACTACATTAAAGTTCAAATTTGATTATACTAAAATTAATAATTTGTGTTTATCAAAAAGATAGCATAAAAATGTAAAACGATAAGTTACAACCTGATGCTCATGATGCATATAACTGACAGTGGACTAGAGCCAGACTATATGAAGAACTTCTGTAGGTCCAGGAGGAAAGGACAAACTGAAAACTTGAACCAGGCCGAGTACTGACAAGCACCTCTTAGAAGCCTGAATGGCGAATGAGCGCGTGAAAGTGTGTTTTCTCTTTCATCTTTAGTCTGTCTCCACTGTCCATGCACCAAATCCCACCTCATCCAGTACTCACTCCCGACGCAGCGAACACATGCAAGGCACATTTTAGCAGCGTCCTTTTGGTCCCTTGACTGTTACCGAACTGGGTTTCCGAAAGATAGTTCTGACTTGAGCACTGGTCTCAACCCCACCCCGAAGTCAGAAGGCCCCCTCCTCTCTCTGCCTCTCACGGCGAGAGAGGGCCTTGGGGTTGGAGGAAAGACCTGGAAGAAGGTGGTTAACACCAGGCTTAGGAAAGACAGAATAAGGTGTGTAATATAAGAGTAAAATAAAGGAGCACAGGCAAGGCGCAGTGAGCTGCGGGGGCGAGAGTTACAGGGTGTCAGTCACTCTCCCCCACCTTCCAAAGGGAACGTCAGTCGAGGCTGCAGCCTGAGTTTCCGTTTGGGGTTAAGGAAGGTGTGCGGAACCCAAGTGACTGCGCCCTGACCCTGTCTCCATCTGGGCCCGGGGCCAGGGACGCACCCGAGGGCGCCGCGCGGTCCAGGAATCGTTAGTTCTCCCGGAGCGGCGCCTGGACGTGTCTCCGAGAAGCTGGACGCGGACCCGGGGCCGGCCGCTCTGGTCGCCCGCGTTCCTCTCCCCGCTCGCAAACCCGAGGCTTCGGCTATGACCCCGGTGTCTGGGGGTGGACTCGAAGGTCCCGCAGTGCTGCTCCCCAGGGCTGCGGTTCTGCACTGTCCCTCATTAACTCAGTAACGTCGGGCCGGACAGAGTCCGCTGTCTCGTCCGTCCATTGGACTCTCAGCTCCTTCTGTGCTGGGGCCGCTTTGCGTTCGCGGCGTTTACAAGACGGGGGAAGGGGACGGGGAGGTGGGGCAGGACCCGGTCTCACGTGCCTGAGCCCCGCGTCGACCAGTCACCGGGTGCACCCGGCGGCTGGGGCTCCCCCGGCTTCCCAGGGACGCGGCGCTGTCCTCGGACACGGGAAGGACGCGGGGTTGGAGGGGACGACGCGCGACCCCGCCTGGCCCTGGGGCCCCTCCTGAGTGGTGCGGACGGGCTGCAGATAAAAAGATCTTAGAGTAACTGGAACTGAGGGCAGGCCCCGCTTACGGCCTCGCTAACGGGGCCCGGCTCAAGCGGCGAGGACCGAGGGGAGGGCGCCCCGCTGCCTGTTTAAACAGATAAGAAACCCGCTCGCTGGGAAGGAGGGCCCGGGCCCGGTCGCCACGAACGCGTCACCAACGTCCCCTTCAAGTCGGGCACCGAGGGAGCCCGAGCACCGCGATCCGGACGACTGGCTTCTGACCCTTAGAAACAGGGATGGAAACGACAGTGGTGGTAACGGGCCTAGGAAGGGACCCCCAGGCCGACAGGTGGAATAACGAGACCTGGTTCCCCAAAACGCGTTTGAAGATCCGGTGACTGTGGCCGCCGGCCGGGTGTCCGACGGGTCAGAGGCCAACCAGGCGGCAGGTCCTGCGGGAAACCCGCGCGGCGACGCCTCAGGCC